AATCGAACGCCTCGAGGCCTTTGTCACCAAATTTCGAAGATGAAAAAAAGCCCAGACCTTTTCAGAATTCATACTAAAAACCTGAGTTAAAAAAACATCTTTTTTTTCAATTTTAGCCTCATAATTAAGTTAAGGTCAATTTGAAAACTTGACGATGTTTCCTCTGAACTTCTAAATCGGAAAACACCTCCATGCATTTTTGAAAGTTATATTTCAATGTCAACTAAGCACCACTCATAACATTTCGAAGCTAAAAAACAAATATGAAATTCCCAATTTGAACCATGACGACATAACCAAAGAACTCACTGAAACAAGGGGAAAAAAGCTACGAAAACATGCAAAAATCCAGAAAAAAGCTGTTTTCGGGTGACCAAACCGATCTATTCACAAAAAAGCAACCCCAACCAAAAGAATAAGAGAAAGACAAAAAACCAATAATAAGAAAAATCGCAAATTGGATGTTCTTGGCAACGGGAGTTAGCCGAAAAAAAGGGCACTAATCGAAGATTGTGCTCCATTCCACGGCCCATTAATATTCACATTTTACTGGCGCATTGAATTTCGCTGCGTATTTGTCTGCATTATAAAAGAAATTTGAAAAATTAATATGAAAAAAAGGTCGAAAAAAATAAATTAAAAATTCCTCCGACTTCAAACGACTTGCGCTCTAAGGTAAGCTTGTCCGTCTTTTCTATCGCTTGCGCTCTGTGCATAAAGTTGAGCTTATAAGATTTTCAGAAAAGTCGGCCGAAGTCGAAAGGTGAATCGCATGGTTCAGAAAATGACCATCCAACTGATTTTTGAAAAATAGTGGACTTTCTCGTAAAACAAAGAACAAAGCAATGGCTTCACCATAACAATAAAATTTATAATTTTCAAGAAAATCCAGCTGATATCATATATGGCTTCGGATAAGCTGTTCTGCACTTTCTCTCAATTCATTAAAAAAAAAATAAAAGCTTTTCACCAATTGAAGCACAAAGAGCATAATGAGGACATGTGAATCGGGCTAGATTGAGCTCATAGAAAGCGCCGGAAATTTGACTTTTTGATTCTTTTTTTGAGAAGTAAAGTTAATTCTGTTGGCGGGAGAATAAAAGCGTTCGAACTGAGAAAAAGATTAGAAATCGGATTTTTTAGAAAAAACTTTCGGGTCTAAATTAAATCAAAAAGCTTTTATGAAGCGATTTTGACCAAAAATACCTCTTTACAACCAAAAATCACGGTTTTTCTAAGGAAGTTCAAATTGAAATTATAGTTTATTCGCAGATTTTTCAACGCGACGGACCTGACACTGGCTGCGCTTTTATACATCTTTGGACAGTAATATTAAGCAGTGCTCCCTGAATTCAAAAATTTTCAGTCCCTGTAACGCAAAAATTTGATATTATTTCCATCCGATTCATTAATATTTTTAGAATTGAAAAAGTTTTTTTGATGATAGAAGACCTTAGATCAAAACAATTTCAAAACTTCAAGAAATTTAAGTAGCGCTTTAAAGCCAACTCCATGATTTATTCCGAAACTGAAAAATAAAGAAAAACAAGTTATGAGTGCAATTCACGGTCTCCAGAGCGAATTTCCTGAGTTCCATCGGATTGAGACATGTCCGGAGACGACGAAAGCAACAAAAACATCAACAAGGTGGTAATTGATGAGAGAAAACGACTTTTTCCGATTGGCAAGTCCTGGATTAGTGTCTTAGAACGCCGGAAAAAAAATTAGGTGTTGCTTGAAACGGAAGGGACTTTTTTGTTCATACTCTTCACAGAAAAACCTGTCTTCCTATCACTTTAAAAAAGACCCTGGGAAGGTGAACAATTTCAGCCCCTCGGTATCGCTATATATATTTCAAAACTCTAGAGCGCAAGTAGTTTTATGGTCGGCCACAAAAATAAAAATTTTTAAGCTGACTCATGGATCACTGACCGTTCTAGTCAAAGACAAGTGACTTTGAAACTTATTTTTAATATATTTCAAAACCCCGCGCGCAAGTTGTGTTGAGTCGGGGGCAAAATACCCGTTCCTCAGATTTCATCCGAGCAAATAAAACGTTGAAAAGATTGAGAACAAAGAAAAAAAAAGCTATTTTTCAAACTTCAATCGTTTCCTTGCGTGACATTTTGACATCAGGAAAAACAATAAAACAACAAAAATACAGAGAAAAAGGTCCTTATTTTCTGATTTTTTGAAAAATGGGTTACTAAGGTGCATGTGAACGACCTTTTTTTGAACAGTAAGAAAATAATAGTTTTTTCTGGATTAAAAAAAATGAAAATTTGCCGTTTTGCCCCAAAAATAGTTTCCGATGCTCATGTAGTTTTTTCGTACTTTTGAAGAGTTGAATTTTTGTTTAAGATAGGTTTGAAATTGTGATTGAAACAGTGATGACGCTTACACGAATTTACTTGAAAAACAAGGATACTCGAGTCTTCACGGAGGTAGTGATTGCCGTTTTCGGAGGATTGGAAAATCCCTTGATGGGTGAAGATTTTTTTCAATAAGGTTATTTTGAAAGGAAAATTGAAAATTGGAAGATAGTTGAAGTAACCGAAATTATTCTTTGAATCTCTAAAGCTAAAAAATCGATGTTCAAATTTTTCCATAACACACAACCTCACAAAAAAAAACAGCTGGGACGAATTTGAGAACAAAAAACGAGGAAGGTAATCAATGCGGAGATGAAATGACTTGTGAAGTGGGCATTCTACAGCTCTGCAACACCTTCTCCAGCCACTCGACGGCGTCTCGAAGCCTTCAAACCAAAAAAAATCCGCGTCGAAGGCCAGCTTTGCCTAACTTTCATATGCCGACAACACGTGCGCGACGTGTACCGGAGAAAGACAATAAATTGTTCTGACGTTGCTTCAAAGTCGGTTGGGAAGTCATAAAGGAACAGATGTGGTGAGGAAAAGGAGAAAATTTGAAAGGAAGAGGAAAGTTTCTTTTTAAGAGTTTAGGTTAGAACTAAATATATTAGGGGATGGTAAATGAATTTTTCACACTACGAGTAAAAAAGGACAAGAGAAATATTCAAAGCATCAAATACAGATGTTATAACCCTGCGGGATTCCCGTTCTTTGAGAAGAAAAACGCTTCGAAACCAAAAGAAAAATCATGAAAGGACGTAAAATGAGCACCAGTGAAAGGTTGGAACCTCCTTCAAGCAAAAATTAAAAACCTTCACAAGTTAAAAAACTCAGGATTTTTTCACAGTTGGGTGTGTCACAAAAACTTTAAAAAATAGAGAAAAATTGGTTCAAAAACTTCCGAGGCTGAGAGACTAAAAAAGTTTGTCGAGCTTTTTCTCCACAGACGAAGGTCAAAACTTCATGAATCTTGAAGCGAGTTTCTACTAGACACATGTCTTGCGCTTTCCGAGACACATGAGAAAAATGTTGAAACTATTGGGAAAATTATGATGAGCATTAGAAGACTGAAAAAACAAATTTCTCAAAATTCTGCAAAAAGAGAAGATTAACTTCGAAGTTTGGTAGCCAAAACTGTGAAAAAAAGTTGGATCCCGCAGATATTTTGAGCTTTCAGAAAAAGTAAAAGCTTTCGGAAGAAGATGCCGCAACGGATTTGAGGCGCGTAGATCATTAAATTTCAAAGAATGTACGGTTATTTTATCAGAAAAAAATATCATTTTACAACTTTCCTCAGAATTTCAAATGTAATACCACAATTCATGATAAGAGCATCACAATATTTATTATGTAACCACAAAACGATAAATTATTCAAACCACGTTTCAAAGGGACGGCCACAAAAAAACATTTTAGCGTCAACTGATCGGCTGAACCTAAGATTAAGAAAGAGAAGAACGAGAACGGGAGAAAAAAACCCGTAGGGGGATAATCAAACAGGCTCTATTGATAATATTGTCGTGCACAAGAAAACAAAAATAACAGGGGAAGCGCTTAAAAACTGGCCATTTTATAAGAGAACATTTTTTTTTCGAAAATTACTAGCTATGCTAAAAATATATAAGACCTGGAAAATATAAATCAAAGGGAAAAAACACGCCTTGGAGGAATATGCACAGATGAATTCAGAAAACATAGATGATGATGTCATAGTGTTGTACTGATTTGTATCCTTCAACTTCGTAGAAGATTTTCCGAGCGGCAAAAGTATGGGATGTGGCAAAATAGAGGAACTAAACTCAATATACAATTCATGACTCAGTGTCTTGAAATATGTAAGAGCAGCTTTCAAACCCTTGAAAACAAGACCGAAAAGGAAAGATTGCAGATATTCAAATAAGAATGAGATCAGACTAGACATGTGGACAAAGATGGAAATCGAAGACAAGGAAAGATCCATGATAAATTCATAGAGAAAAGAGAAATTAGTTGACTTTAGGACATTTAATGCCAAAAAAGGGTATTTAGGCTTCTGAAACGGTTTGACAAGTGAGATATTTTAAACTATTATTGAACTTCGTTGGAATTTCTAAATCTTTCAGAGACATCAAATAATGATACTCCGAAGTTATTTTCCATTGGTTTTGGTTTCAAAACTTTTTTCTGCAGCTGCAAAAAAGAGTGGTCAAAGCTGGGGAGGCTAAAACAGCGGAAACCAGCTTTTTTGATGACTAGCGCGAAAACCGTCTTAGATCGGTTGGGCCCAAAAAAACGGCTCTACAAGTCAATTCATTCCAAATTTGAATTTTCCGATAATGAAAAACCGTCAAGAAAATTTTGAAAACTCTCAAAACCATTTGCGAACTACAAAGGAACTTTGAAACTTCCCACAAAACTTCCAGAAACCTAGCATCCCTTACAAATTGGATTACTTTAAAAGCAAGTGGGCGGGAAAAAATCACAAATACGTGGCAAGACTAATTTAAAGAAAAAAAAAGGGAAAAATCCGACACTGGTAACATACAGAGACGGTCAGTGAAAACCTATTCTCGGCTTTTGAAGCTTAAAAATTAGGGTTTTTTAAATATAGAGCCACTGTCAATGGGGAGATACACGTTTTCTATTATTTTAATCTAGAAAGTTGAGAGTATTGATGTATTCGTCGCCTCGGTCGGTGCTCTCGGCAGAAGTCGCCGGTGGTAAAGGAGCATGTTCTGAGGGCACCGTAGGGGAAGCGATGACCGGTTCTACTCGAACTGGAAGGACCAGACCTTCCGCTAGGAGCTCCTTGATGTTCACGTAGCTGTGCTCTTTCTGAAAAATTCATGTTCAGCTTGAATTTCCAACAATTCACAAATTTTAAGTTATTACTTCGATTTGTAGTTTTCGTCTTCTACAAATTCCCTCTTTGAACAAACCTTTAAAAGATTCGTTCTCGGCGTCGGTCTTGGAGGAAGAGGCGGAGGAGCGACCGGAAGGTCATCAAGCAGTAAAAGATTAACTTCAGCGGCGGATACGTGCTTGGGGTCCTGAAAATAGATCAAATGTTCTGTTGCCGTGAGAACCGGAAACGAACTGGCTTGGGTGGGGAGATCTTTTGGAGCGTCGGTACGGACGACCGTTTGTGTTCTTTTTTCGGCGGTCGGAACCGATCGATAATTACACGGTTTGTTCCTTTAATCTCATATCTGCAGAAAGGGCAGGTGTTTCCGTTTTCTGAGTCCTGAAGGAAAAAAAAACCGTTTTAATAAATTTTGTTAACGTTCATTCACGACTGGGTTTAAAGTCTTACCTGCCACGTCGACAGGCAAGAAGAGCACAAAAGATGGCCACACGGCTCGATTTTGATGTTCTTCTCATTATCGTCGCAAATTTTGCACAACTCGAACGTAGTTCCCATTTCACAGTACAACTCATACTGTTCACTGGTGACCTGTGTAATGAAACGTTGAAGTGATTTAACAAGGCTTTTGAGGGTTACCATAACTCGATCCGCTTGAGGAACTTCCATAATTGTACTCAAATCGATGTCCTTGTCTCGGCCGTTTGGGTACATGTAGCTGAAAAAGTTAGCCAATGAACAACATCATTTAAATGATTTTGTGAACTAAGGCTATTTTCACTTCAAACTCTTTATTTAAGATGGACAACACCGGAATTTTTTGAGCTTTCCAGAAAATAGTCAACAGTTCAATTTCTTTGCGGAATACTCGTATTGATACATGTATTTTCGTAACTACTTTTCGAATAAGTTTTGGATGTCTTTTGAATTTTCAACTTGGCGCCAAGTTTTTCATTCAAGTAGTAACCGTAATGAAAATCGTTTTATTGACAGAGCAACCAAAATCAGAACAAAATCAATAATTCTTTTCAAACTTTTTCATATTTTCTCATACTTCCAGATGAAGCTAAAGCTAATTTTTTTTTTGTAAAAACAATCTTAAAAAACTAACAATCCCTCTTTGCTGCCTTCATGAAGTGCCTGGATCAAACTTTTGTTTTGCGGGATCGTTTGGTAGATTTTCCCATCCGGCGCCACGTACCCAATTGCCCATTGTCCAGGCCGAGTACACGACAACCGAAAAACGTAGCTGCAAAAACCATCCATCAACTCCCTTTTTCCACGCGCGTCGTTATTCATCCAACAGCAGAAGTCAATAAAAAACGAAAAAAGAACCTTCCAGGCTTTTTCGACAGCTTCTCCAGCCGCTTTTTCACCTCGTCGTAGGTGAGAAACGCGACGTAACCTGGGTGATTCGTCGTCAGAAGCTGCCAATTACGCAGAAGCGTCTTCCAGGGATAGAACAACCTGAAAAGGTTCGGAAATGACGTGAGCAAAAAAAAGGAGACAGTGGGGTTGATTTTTGAAAATTTCCCTCATTTCCGAACTTTCAGGGTTTAAAATTTCATAACTTGCACAATCTTATACTGGAACAGTAAAGTTATGTAGCTTCTTTTTTTGAAAAAAAAAACGTTTTTTAAAAGAATTAAGGCAGAAAAGGCATCCATAGCTGAAGCGTTTTCAAAACAGTCGCTTTTCGAAAGTGTCAAAAAAAAATTCCAAAACCTTAAAAAGTTAGAAAGAACTTGTTTTTATAGGAAATGCCATTAGAAAAAAAAAATTATTACTGAAATTGATTCTAAAAATAGTCATAATCATCAACTACTTTTATTTTTGCTCTTTTGATTCTGAATTTTTCTTACTTGGTCCTTCAATAGCCCTACACATCCCAAAAAAACGAAAGCCAGAAATTAGAAAGCTCAGAAAAAAAAGAGAAAATAAAATTCATAAAAAATTACCTCGTAAAAACGTCAAACTCAAAGTTGGAAATGTGGTCGTTAGCTGTCAGATCGATGGTTGTTTTCAAAGTTGTAGATTCCAAACGCTGCATCGAATAATTATGCGCAGTTTCTAAGGCTTGTAGAAACTGAGACCATGGTACTATTGATCTTTAAAAAAATTTGATCTTAAAATTTTTACGAAAAGCCAACTTTTTCGGGAAATACTGTTGCCAAAAGTCTTCAGCCTCTCGTTTGGTGATCCGAAACTTGTCGCCTGAACTTTCAAAATAATTTTTCTTATTTTTTTCTTGAGTTTTACCTATGAAATTTCCAGATGGGAACTCGGCTTTCAACTCAAAAAAAGCATATGGGAAAAAAAGTGAGCGAAAGCTTCGTTAATTTTCGCCTTTCTTCTGAAGCTTCATCGAAGATCGTCGTCGTTTTGAACAGTTTTAAAACCTGAAAATCGTTAAAGTCTCTATTAATCTTGAAGGAATTATGATTTTAGGAGAATGTAAAAAAACTCACATCTTTACATTTTTGTTGCATGTTGTCGAGGAAGATCCTGAGGTACTCGTTTTCCCGTAGAACGTTGTTGTTTTGGGTGAAGATGAACATAAGCTTCAAAAAAATATGTATAATACTTTTCTTTCACGTTAATTATCAGCCTCCCATTCTGATGGAAGAGAGGTGAAATTCAATGAGTTTTCTTCAAAAAATAGTCATTTTTGGATTTTTTTCAAGGGTGCAGTTTTTGTTTGTCAAGGTTAGAACACACATGTTCACTCAAATTTCCAGTTTTCTGTCAAAAATTATTTTCCCGTCTTTAAAAGTAAACCTTGACAATAGAAAGAGAGAGAGAAAGAAAAGTCGCAAAACCTTCCAAAATTGTTCGAAAAAATATACGAAACTAGCACCTGTGAGTAAGTATCCGGCAAGATGTCGAGGATGAAGGGAGGCGAATTTTTGAGGTTGAGCCGAGGACTTTGGCATTGTTTGACGACGTCGTCCATGTACTTGAACGCCTTGCATAGTAGCCGCCGGTCCTTAACAAAATACCGCCGTAAGAATCTACAGGAGCACATGTGGGTAAAAATGACACAAATTTCGAGTCGACCTCCCTATTGTTATGTACACACCGACTGACGTTGCGAAAGCGTTCCGACAATAATCCCCGTGGCGCGCTTGACGTTTTTACATAAAGGAAAAAAGCGCGATCCGTCAAGCGGTCGGCTGATTCAACAGTTTTTTGGGTTGAGGGGCAATGAGACAAAAAATTGGATACCACTCGAAATTTCTTTGAGATGGGATAGGTTATAACTTTATCAAGCTCGTTGAGAAACCTGCCAAATGTTTTCAAAACCCATTTTTTTTTTCTTGTTGACGTTTTTGGAAAAGGGAAACAAGCTGATTCAACTATCTTTGGGTTGAGGGTCAGAAAATTGGAATTTATTGGAAATTTCTTCGAGTTTTCTTAGATGAAAAATCTAGAACTTTTGTCGAGAAATCTGGCGAAATTGAATAATTCCATTTTTGTCAAGACCATGGAGTTCTTTTTCTTCGAAAAAATGAAGATATACTCATTTCACATTCTCTTGAATATTAAAAAAGAGTTGTCGGAGTTTTTTTATCCACACGCTATTTTCTAAGCTTATGTAACTCCTCCGAACTGTCCAAATTTGACTTTGAATGAATAAAAAAATTTGAAAGCTGTGATATTTTGTCCTCTTACATAAATTATTGATTTTTTAAACTTTTGAAATTCCGAAACAATCTCACAAAAGGACGAAAAAAAAAACTAACCGAGTTGGCCAGCGGCCAAGACGACAGAGGCGATGGCGAGCTGTCGCTTCCCTGTATGTACCGAACTTGAAACTGCAAAGTGATATAATGGGACTAGATGCGATTTCAAGTAAAACTGACCCCGTTACCCCCACCATTGACAAAACCTTGTAATCTGGTTATAAGAGTTGTTATTGAACTCATCTCTTGAAAATCACCCCAGAGTCATATCTGAAAATGGAGAAATTCAAAACATGATCTATGAAACCTCGATCTAACGAGTATACGGTAGGTTTAACGTTGACGAAGACAAAAAAAGTGTGGGAAAAATGGAAAAAAAGCATGTCAACGAGATTAACGGCTCCTATGAGCATAATATCATGTTACAGTAGGAGAAAAAGAACCAGATGAGATGAAAAAATTCCATCATGACTCACAAAACACAGCTGGCAGTAAAATCATCCACCAAAAGGTTCAGAAAAAATAGCGAAAGTTCATTTTCTTTGTTAGCAAGGGCGGTGATCGAATTATTTTGATTTGAGCTTCTAAGAGACCGATCTTATTCATATTCTCACGCCTAGTAAATTCATTTTTTTTTTCTTGAGACGACGGTGAATGGATATAAACTCCTGAAAACTTTCTCAATTACTTTCCAAAAAAGAGACATGGGTGCTGACAAAAACTTTAGATTAACGACCTTGTGACAGTAGAATAAAAAAAACCCAAATGAAGAAAAAGAAAAGACTTTGTGACTCAGAAAGCGCAGCTGGCGAGGTGAGCAACACCAGGCGAAGGTCTGGCGCACCACAAAACTAGATAAAAAAAAAGAAGGAACTGCCCACCTGCCCTACTCCATTAGGAGCCGCCAGACGGACTACGTAATCGAGAATTTATTCGACAGGAAAGCTTTATGAGAGTTAATTTGGGTGTCAGGACGGATTAAAGGTTAGCTAATGAACACAATATTTAGTCGTGGTGTTGTTCGGGAAGCGAATTACAACTGGTTCACTTCACTGTTTCGGAACAAACTGAGTTAAGTCAAGAATTTATTAAAAATTGAGCACTACGGGAGAAAATGCAGAAAAACTTTTTTTTTGGTGATTTTTGAGCTTCATTCTGGGAATTCAGATCAACTACGTAAATTCAAAGAAAATTTTGGCAAAGCTTACCGGGGTTCTTCAGATTTCTCAGAACAGAAAATTTCACAGATCCCATCCTTTTGAAGGTGAAACTTTGAGAAATCCATACTAAAAATTCGAGAGGACTACATATGTATGGAAAAAAACATTAGTGACGCAAAAATTAGCTGTTTGAAACCGAATTGGTCGGGCCAAAACAAATGAAATCCTTGTTTTAATCATGTTGATGGGCTTCTGATTTTCTATATTGGGCAGCTTCGGAAAATCATTTCAGAAGATTTCCTTGTCGGGAAGAAGCCCTTAAATAATCCTTGAAAAGAATCCGATAGGTCAAAAATAAGTTTTAATGAAGCTTCACAAAACATCGTAAAATAAGCTATTTAAACGTTCAAGAAGTAAATTTTTGGAAGCGTTAAAGTTTTCAGAGTAGAAAACGAGCTTGAGAAAGGCTAAAGAGAAGGTATTCAAATGAAAAAAGTACTACTCGCCGCTCTTAAATACCCCAAAGATTAGGAGTTTACTAGACAAATCAGGAACTTATGGGATTTTTCCACGAACCCTGCAAATGTCCAGAAAGAGCTCAGAAAATTTCAACTTTTATATGTTTACTTTTTTCTATTTCAAATAGTTTCTCTGTGTATTTTCCAAGAGAAGATATCCCAATCGTCAAAATTCGAATTGTTTGGAAAATCTCGAAAAACTTCATGAAAACGCAGAAAATTATTTGAAACCTCTAGTTTAGGAGATTGATAGACAAACCAGAAGTTTATGGGATTTCCTCACGCGGCTACAAAATTTGGAAAGAGTCCAGAAAACCTTGACTACCGTATATGAGAAACACTGCAACCGCGAAAGGAAGTTTGAAAGTTGTTAACTTTGAGAAATCAATACGAACTCCGTAAATCCCTTTTCTCATATTCAAAAAAAAGTTGCTCTTGAAATTTTCTGGTTGTCAGATTTTTTTCCAGAATTTGGCGTCTGAAGAGCTTTTTTTAAAAAAATCTTTAAAAATGAATTAGAAAAAAATTTAATGCTCTGCAAGTGATTATTTTAGGATCTTTTGAGAAATTCCAAAAGAATCTTTTTTTCAGAGTTTTTGTATCATTTTCGGCTGGAAACATACTACAAATACAAACTTTTATAGAAACTCGTAAGCTCCAAGAAACGGAGAGATGACATAACGTGAAAGGAAAGGAGGACATCAAGTGCGCGGCTCGTTGGAAACAAGCAGATTAACGGCTTCTGGGGCGGATAACTTCGTTTTCACGTCATGTTGACAGGCTGACGGAGCAAATCAATTTGCTTGCACTCGTGAAGGAATTATCAAGGACATCCCAGCAGGAGAGCCGGATTAGCAATCAGATGTTTCTACGAAGTGGCTGAAAGATGTAATACGTGGAAAAAATAGATTTTCCTAACAGAGTTGGTAAAATAATCCGTTCAAACCGTGGTCGTTGATGAAACGGAACAAAGTACAAAAAAAGAACATTTCAATTTTTTTTTCTACTTAAAAACTGGTCCGAAAAGTTGTGGAAAAGGGAGAGGTTAAGTAATTTTCCTGTTTCAACTCTCAGTTTGCTATAAAAAGACTAATTTCTAAAGAAAATGCCTAGCAACTGTCCTATGTGAGAACCTTCTGATGATGTGTAGGGATGGGAAATGCCAAAGTAATTGAGGTTTAGAACCCATTTAGTGTGACCAAAGAATGAAAAAAAGATGGAGGGAAGGTCGCTGGACGGAATGCACGGACGAATGAACATATAAGCGCGCTGGACAAAAGGGAGTGAACCAGAGAACTGTACACACTGGCCGAGGTTTGCTGTGTATGACCCACGGAGTTGACCCTTTCATGGGTCAGATAGCGAAGAAACAGCGGCTAGAAGGCGATAACTGAGATGGGAGAAAGATCAGAATCTTGGTTGGAATCAAATTCAGCCAAGAATCTCGGTTTCTGGTCCGAATTTAAGATACTTTTGCGTAGTTCATTCACCAAGGTTCCTGGTTTGACAACCAATTTTTTCTAGTTTCCTGTTTTTTGACTGACTGATGCCCGAAGGACTTGACTTTTAGACCAGATTGTGCAAAAAAAAAAAATGAAAAACTGAAACCGAGAGAAAGAGCAGTTATTTAAAGATAATAAATTTTTCAAAAATCTGATTTTTTTAAGCTTTCTATGATAATTTCCATGCATAGTTCATCTAACGTCTTTGTCTCTGATTTCAGAAAATAAGAAGAGAAAGAATCTTGAAGAAAAGAAAAATTATAGCGTTCAAACCAGAATAGAAATACCGATTTTTATGTGAGATTGTCACGCTGCCACGAAAAAAAAAATTCACGGACCTTTTTCAAGGTGGCAATATTAGTAAACCAGTTCTCATCTTGGAAAAAGATCTTAGAAAAAGCAAATAACTCAGAATAAGTCAATATTGAAAAAAATTCCTTTGGAATATTAAAATTGGGAGAAATATAGTTCTTTTATGAACTTTGTTAAAAATCGCTGCAATTCGAAATATTTGAAAAAAATAAATAACTTGTTGTATATTTTTCTGCATAAACGACTTATCAGTTTTTCAAATTTGGCTCATGACTCAAAAAAATAACAAAAACTGAGCATTGATTGATTTCACAACAAACTCAAATAGAAAGAGCGAAAAATGACCATGTTCAGACCAAACGGAGAGTCACGTGAAGTATGAATTTTCATGTTATTTCGAGTACCACTGGTTTTTTTGTTGAATGTGAAAACACAAACTACATTTTGCACATTCAAATGCAGGGAAGAGAAGAAAAAAATTTATCTTCAAACATAAATTTCAAATAACTAATGAGAATCAAACTATAGCATTAAAAATAAACATACGAGTCTGGCTTTTTGAAACTTTCAGCTAGAGAATTCAGTTTTTGAAGGCAAAAATTATTCGATTGAATTTTTTTTATCCATACGAAATACTCTGGATGAGTCTTTACATGGGTTTGAAACATTTTCTTCAATTTTCGGGCCAAACTCCACTCAAAGCGATCCTGTAGGCATTCTCAGGTCTCAGGGTACGCTGAAAAAAAAAAGAAGAACTGTAACAAAGTTTCAAGCTGTCATATTAGGTCACACCCAATACTGCAATTGGGTAATTTAATCTTTTTTTTAACCTGGCTTCGAAAACACGGATAATAGTGACCAACTTGGCATTAAAGTTTTAAAAAAGACTTCAAGCTATAAATTTAAAAAAAAATTGAAGTATAATTTCATAAATTTCCAACAGAACGGCAATCTTAGACCACGCCTCCTTTCCAAAAGCACTCAAGTTGTTAAGGATAGACTATAACTTCCAGGACATAAAACTTTGAACGAGGTAAAGAGAAAACAACACTAGCCCCATAAAATTTAGTTCCGAGCCATTTAACCTCTTTTCGAAGAACTCGACGACAAAAATACAACAATCAGAAGTCCTGAGTGCCTGAGAAGGCCCTAAATATAACTTTAAAGCTTTTCAATTCGATTGTCATCCACATAAGCCACGCCCATTCAATTCGACCAACAGTTTTGAATGGACTATTACTTTCCGTTTGCAAAAGTTCAAACTAGCAAAAAGTTACCTGTATAATATCAAGTTCCAGATTATTTAATTTTTTTGAGAATGCTCACGGACAAAAATATAAAAAAATTAGAAGCCGAGAGAGTATATGAAAAAGGCAAAAACTTTTTCCTAAAGCTTGATAATTTGAAAATAGACGACCCGAGCCACGCCCCTTTTGGTCCACTCGAATCGTTTTGAATGAATTATGATCTTCAGTTTGTTAAAATGCAAACTTGCAAAGGGAAAAATGTCACCTCTATTATACCGATTTCTCTTTCAGTTCACCGCTTTTCAAGTGAACTCAACGACAAAAATACAAGAATCAGAAGCCGATAGAGTATTTGAAATGGCCCTGAAACGTGTTCCAATTGAAAGCGCCAGAGGGCACACGACACAAGCGACGCCATTAGATGAATCAGCTCAAGTTCTCTTTTTTTCTCCGTTTTTGGGCGACCGACGTTCTTTTTCAAGCCGTTATGGACAATCAAGGCGTCTAAGTGTGATAATACTCGGAAATGGGCATCATTTTAATAACGATGAGAAGTTCTTATCAAGAAAAAAAAAGATAAAAGTTGCATGACTAAAAAGTTGACAATTCTTTGAAGATTCGAAATTTGAAGAGGTTATTTTTTAGGAATGAATGAATAAATTGGAGACCTCGCCTATCCTTTGGATAGGCTTCAAATTGCTGAAAACTGATCTCAGTTACATTTTGAGGTCCTGCGAAGACATAACCTACAGTAAATTTTCATTTTATGATACAGCAATAAACAAGTTCTAATCACCAAAAAAGAGATTCTGTAGAAAACTTGGCGAAGAAAATGTGAAAAAAAGTTAATCGAAAAGCTGAAAGCGAATTTTTTTCAACATTTGGAACTGGGAGTACGGTGAGCCACATGCCCAGAGCGTTTTGAGATATTTCCAGAGAAATAAAATTTGGATCAATCAACAGCTGAGTCACGGGATATATTGCAAAACCTGAACAAACAACTGAAAATGTGATCCTCAAAAAAACCATTAAAATTTTTTTTTGAAGCTGCTGTTGTCAATATCTCATTTTTAAACGGAAGCGAAAATCGAAAAATGAGACGAGTTAAATCTTTAAAAAAATACCATAGAAACTAAAAAAAACCATTAAAATTCAGGAAACAGTAGATGAAGTTGATCAAGATAAAATTTGCATTTTTTTTTTCAAAACCAATACAGACCTTTGAAAATCTTTTATCCTCACTATGTTCAATTCAAAAAAACATCTCAAAAATTTTTTTGGCTGGTGGAAGAAAAAAATCTTGAGAAAAATAAATGAAAAATGTTCAAAAAAATTATCTCAACTTCCAGTTTCAAGCAAAAATTAACAAATATTTTCAGAGATCTCTTAGAAATCCGGTCCAAATAGTTTTTATTTTATGGAAGACATAGGAAAAAGCAGGTATATTTCGTTTAAAGTTTAATAATAGCTAGTTTGAAGCAGTAGTTAATAAAATCTTTATAAAATAAGTGGGACAGTGAGCAAAATAAAAGGTTCAAACGTCAAGGTAGTCATTTTTCTTTGAACTAGCTGAGAATTGAGGAGAAAATTCTTTTAAAGTTGAACGGAAGAATCTCCCACGTTCACTGATCAACACTAAACTACAAAAAGTGACAAAGATAGTTGGTCAAGAGCCGAAAAAAAAAAAGAAAAAAAGAACAATGAAAACGACGCGAGGGACTCGAGGGAGGATATGCACACACGTGCGCAAAAACCCACACCGCTTGCTGGAAATCAATCGATTCGCCTACTATGACTCATTTCGTACCTAAACCACGCCATTCACGTCATTTTCGCCTTTTCTTGTGTAAAGTTTTATCACCGCTTTTCATGGATGTCTTAAGAATTATAGTTAGTTTTGTGCTTTCAATAGGATGGGGGAAAAAAATTGGCAAAGGTTTTTACGAACTTTTCGAGCATTTATCTCTAAATTGACTGGCTCAAGTTTCTTTTTTGTTTCTAAATGGTTTGGATAGCTTGGAAAATTGATAAATTCACTTGTTAGAATAATATGAAAAATGGTTTTTCAACTAAATAAAAAAATTTCCGATTGAAAAAAATGATTGTTTTTTTCCGTTTTTTTCAACTGTGTTCAACATTTTATGTTTCTTCTAGAAACAGTAAATGTTATTTATTTTCATATAGTTGGGATCAATTGAGAAAAAACACAAGGCTGGTTTGTACTGAATTTTTTTGCTCTTTTTTTAATGCATCATTTTTGTGAGAATAAAAAAAGACATTCCTTTTTCAAGATCGATGAGGAGTTATGACAGCTCTGAATCATAAAAAAATCCTAGATTTCTAATTTTTTTACAGAATTTATTATCGGGGACAAGATTTTTTTGAAATGAATGGATTTTTGAAGCTGAAGTGGATCTTCTTTCTGCAATTTTACCTTCGTTTCAAAAAAACTGAAATGAAAACCATCTAAACTTTTTTTAGAGAATCTCAAAATGTCCAATCAGTAGGTATCATGAGACAGCATTTTTCGTAAAAAAATATTTTTTTAAGCTTTACCAGTTCATTTTGACTTTATTTTTCTTATCAGTATCCCATGGCGCTTTGCAGATGATCTTTTTTTATCCTCAAGGTAATCCATATTTCAGAGAACCTGCTACAAATTTCGTCGTCCCTAAGGCATCTATATTTACTAAGGTGACAAGATACATTTTTACGAGTGATGGGAAATCGAGGTTTTTTTCCGAAGTATCTCTTATCCTTTCGAACCTTTTTAATGACAAAAAGATAAGGGTTTTTTTTTTAACTCACGCAGGTGATCGAAAATTAAATAAAAAAATTAAAAAGCGTGGAGAAAGATTAAATTATTCATTCGAACATTTGCAAAGTGTCTCACATCAAGATGCCGCCGGAATCTTGATTGTACAAGCTCCCCATTGTTTATAGTCTTTTTTTATAACAAAAAGATCTGAAAAAAAATTGGAGCTTCAACCAACAGACCGTCAAAAAGTGCATTGAAAAAATGGAAACACAGACAAAGAGGACGTTACTCCCTGGATATCAAAACCAGTAGTGGGAATCGAGACGACTCGTACGCAGCTTGCCCTACGGCGAAATCGCCAGCAAATTATCGCGAATGCAGGCTCGCGAAGGGGCCTCCAAATTGCGATTACACGCCGACTGGAAATATACTCGCGTAGTCTCTGGAACCTCGGATAGAGGCCTGACGCGCCGCAAATTGGCTCATGAATATAAATTGTTCAGTGGCGCAGGACTTGTTGAAATGCAAATCGCTTCGTATTATCTTGAGTTATGATACTTTTGAGCCTGAGGGACTTGAATTTTCCCGTTTTCGGGAGAAAAGTTTCCATTTTTTGGTAGCTTCTATTTATACTAAAAACTCGCATCTGATCGGTTACAAAATAAAAATTGATTACAATTTCAGAAGCTGGTTTGATGTATCATAAAACCTCAAAAAAATTAGGTTTTTTTAATTTTCCGTAAAACAAAAATTGCCTTGTTTTTTTCAGAAAAAGTTTTTTTCTCTATCTTTTTTTATTCACCAGAAGATGTAGATGTTCAAAGCTCACTGCTTTTCGTCAAGAACGAGATTCTAAGGATCAATATGAGTTTTTTCTACCGAAAAAAAAACGCTTTTTCGAAAGATTTTACTTATAATTCATCACTTTCATACAGCCGAGATGTGAAATTTATTCTTTTTCCGTAAGAATTTTCATTGAAAATCGTCTGAATTAGGGGTTAATCGACTACAAGACAGAAGCCAAAAAAAACCAAACTGAATGAAGATTTTTGCGGGCAAAAGCTCGAAAAGAGATATTTGTATGAACATAAATCCCAAATCCCAGTAGGAACACAATCCGTTGTAATGGGATGTGCAAATTTTGAGTGAAATTCGATACCAATGGCAAATGAATCAAAAGAAAGAATGTAGAGGAAAAAAAGGTTTTTGGTTGGTTAACCCAAAAACGGAGAGTTGGTCAAAAATAGCCGAGAATGATTGGGTGGCGAGCGAAACGACGGAACGCGGTCCTTCAAGTGAGTCACTTCCGGACGGCGGCGGCGGCAGCTGGCCTCTCCATTGTGGCGAACCGAATGGCCCTCCGCGCCATTCGTTTTCTGCTCAAAACCCTTCTTACGAGCTCCAAACTGCCCCAGGTGAGCCTCGCGCCTTTTTATTGCATCGGATATTTACACAAAATTTTGAGAATTTGAACATTTCAGTGTACTTTTAACACTTTGATGATAGGATAAACATATTTACAAGCTATTTTCGAAATTGGTTGAATTTGCGTTGTCTTATAGAAAACGAGGACAACGGATTTTTTTCTGAAGAAACCTGAGTTTTTTTTTTTTGAAATTTTTTTAGGTTGGATTCATTCTCATACTAAATATTGAAAAAAATCAGTTTTATTCATTATTATTACCATAAAATCCATAAAGTCGCTCCTCCAAGAAAAGTTGAGATGTTGAGCTTCTTCTTAACTTCTAACCCCAAATAAAGCTCTGAAAAAAATAATTAAATCTCTTGTAGGGTTTCAATATCTTTCGAATAGTTCAATCAAATTTTTTTCTGTGAGATTCGATGCTTTCATGCAAAAAAACTAGAGCGAACGAGCCATTAGTAAAATTACCAAAAAAATATTTCGAACTTCGAATAAAACAAGAAAGTGATTATGTACCCAACATTTTTTTGTTGCAGCTAGAAAAAAACCTAAAAACCAGTTTCGAAAAAATCTACCAAACAAGAAAAAAATTTTTTTCGCTGCGTTTCTCAGACTTGCCGAAAAAGACCACGCCCATTGTGACTCAACGGCCTTTATAAACAAAACTTCTGAGAAAAAAATTCAAATTTTTCGAATTTTGAACTTTAAAAAAAGATGAACTTCAAACTGAATTCACAACTTCCAGAAAAAAAAAATAGAGAATTCAAGAAGAAGAGCTCTTTTCGCGTGAGAATTGGGATGCGACGCACTGCATTTTACGCCACCTGCTACACTTAAATATTCAAGTTCGGAGCACTTTTTTCTCCTTGAAAAGAGAAGAAAACGCAAAAAAGATGAAAGAAGTGAAGCCGAAGGGTATGCGAGAAACAAAAAAAAAAGAAAAAAGAAGCGATGAACTCTTGAGAAAAGAGGTCATACCGAAGAAAACGAAGTTTGAAATCGGGACAGCAAAATTTTAGTGACCCTTAAAAGGAAATTTGAACTTAGAAGTATTCACTGTTTCAAATGAAGTTAAAACAGACAAAGTGACAACAATTAAAAAGAAAATTTTTCGTGACCCGTGCAAGAAGATTTGATTTTTTCAAGATGAAAACTGTAGCGGGAAAAATTTCCAGAAAGATCAAATCAAGAAAAAGTATTTTGAATTCAGTACCGGGGTGAAAGGAAAAACCTCAAAAAAGCAGCGCTCAAAAAACCCCAAAATTACGGTAATAACTTTTTTCCGGTAGCCAAAAAAAACGCACACTTCTCCAAATGAATCATTGTTTCGCGCAGATGTTTTGAGGAGGAAATACGGGTTGGAATCGGGCCAGTCGATGACTAATCGTCAGGCGCTGTAAGACTCTCCGGTCGAATATCACTTGAGAATGGGTCAGATGCTGACTAAGTCCTGCAGAATTTATCTCAAAAAATGATTTATGAATGATTTTTCGATTGACTGTCGATATTTCTAAAAATTGGGACTATTCGAATGAATTTTGAAAAGTTGGAAAAACAGCAAAGTCGGTTTCAACGGAGAATAGTTCAAAAATCAAGTCCGAAGCCTGAAGAGGAAGATTCCCGCAATCACTGATGAAAAGCTTCATCAGACGATCAGTTTCAAAAAAACTTCATTTTCACGGGTTCTCTGAGCGTTTTTTTCCAATAAAAAAATCAACAAATAAAAAAAAAAAAATTTAGGCTTCTCTTTCAAAAAAATCCAATTAACCGCTGGAGGACCTATTGTTTTTTTGAAGTTTTGCAAAAGGCGACAGTTGATGTACCGTTTCAAAAAAACTTTTTATTTGAGAGAAAATGGACCAAATCTACGTTTCTACATAAATTTGTGTACAAAACGATCAAAAAGTGACCAGGAATAGCACAGCGGCGTGTTGACGCAATGAGCAAAACGCCGTATAATCCGACCGACAGGAAAAAAAACCCAAGTTTCGACCAAAACGTAGGCGCCGAACGGTCTTGCATGTAAATGAGTTTACGGTTTCTCGGCTTTCACTTTTTCTGAAAATGTTTGACATACTTTTGGAGAGCTAAACTTCCATTTTATTCACCGCTGGCTTACAAAAAGGGGTAGCGAATCTTTCACCGGTCTTTTAAATGTGCGAAGTTCTGCTATTTAACAATAATTAGTTTCTCAGGTTAACGGTTACTGAACTGTCTGATAATTTTTTGAACCGAGAAAAACACTTTTGGTTGAAGCCACCTGAACTGGATCATGGAAATAAAAACCGCACACCATTGAAGTACCGAAATGTACTAACCAACATAACATAAAATCCAAAATTGATAATTTATAAAATTAAAAGATTAATTCCAAGCTTCTTAGGAGTTCTAGAATCTGTAAAACCTACAAAGACGTTAAACCCAACGAAAAAAAGAACTGAAAAAGATGAACCCAAACGGACAACTGTTCACGCTCAATTAATCAGGAAAAGCTCGGAACGAGATCTTTTGAGGCGAAATGTCGCTGAAGATCGATAAGATTGGTTGAGGGCCTCCTGCCCTTTACAGTGGCGCCAAAAACCCAAAGAGGTTGCGAGTACTTGAACGAGAAGGTGAGTAAAATGACAGAAAAAAAACAAGAATAGAGAAGGTCATTTGACGTGTAACTGCCCGAGAAGTCAGTTCCGGATCGTGGGTGGCGAGAAAAAAGGCGTGAAGATTTGAAAAGTTCCTATAACAGCCTTATTTGAACGTTGAAAAAGCTTGAAAAGTTTGAGATTGGAAAATTCCAGATATTTTACTGAAGAAAAGCCTGTCGTAAATGTACAGGAAAAATTCGAAAATTTTCTCTGGGTTTTTAGGGAATCTCTCTCGTGTACCTTATGGTATTGTGATCTACAGAAATCGTTGAGAAAATCATAAACCCTAAAAATTCAATTTTTTGGCTATTTTCCAGTAACTTTTTCGGCTGAGCAAGTAATTCGTTTTACTTTCATGTACTCATACCTAGGACTTCTTATCACACAAATATGGATCGGATCTGCAACCTACACCACGTGGACTTCTTTTGTTAACAGTGATCCATTTACAGAAAGGCAAAAGAAAAGAAACGATGTTCAATTGACTCTTGAATTTTTGATTATGCGGTTCTTTCTGCCTTCTATCAGGAATCTTGCTGAATGAGAAAACAAGAAAATGAATATTTCTTTCAACCTCATTTTCATCAGTAATCTGAAGGTATGAATCAAGAACTAATATTCTTCTTCCGTTCTCGAAAACCCAACACGAATGAAGATCCGAACGGGAACGTCGTCTCACCTTGATTGATGTCGATTTAACGAGATTAATGACTAACACCTTGAAGGGTGTCTAGGAAAGAAAGGCCGTCTTCAAGAAATTTTCAAGTTAATTAACATGATTTGAATCTGGTTTAAATTCGAAAAAAGCTCGAATTTGAGAACCTCCTAGTCTTCATTCAATTTTGATGAAAAATAAAAGAATCCTTTTTCGCAATTTCGAGACGAAAAAGCTTTCAAGAGGCCACTCAATGGACAACATTTTTTGAGTTTTTTTTAAATTTCATTTGCAAGATATAATCAGTTTCTTTAAAATATCTTTTTTAAAACTACGAAAAATTTATTCCGGCTGAAAAGGTGAGAAATTCCCATAAAAGATAAGAAAATGATATGAAGGTCTTCGAAGAACCACGCGCTAAGAAAACGATCATCTTTCCAAAGAATTAATAAACCATCGGAATTGGTTGATAAAAACCTGGATGAACTTTGTTCACAGACGGGAAACTATAATCTCCCAGTTTGTGGAATTTCAATGGAAGTATACAAAAAGACCTCTCTCGACTTATTTTTTACTATACAAATAGAAAATTTGATAGATAATACATATAAACATGAATTTATTTTTCTACACTACAATGTGAAATGGCGATCGAACCCATCAACATGAAATGAAAAAGAAGAAATAAAATACATGAATGGCGATAGAAAGTTTAAAATTGAGAACTATGACACATTGAGATTATCATTTTGTATTGAATTCCTTATCGTTACCAGGTTCGCGAATGGAAATAAACCAGTTGAGTTCATTATTTTGCAAAAGAGAAGAAAGAAATGGGAAGAGGATGAGTCAATGTCGTGGAATTTTTTAACCGAGTGTACTCGAAGTTTTTTATTGCGAAAGTTTCTCTAAACTACCGCGTTTTATTGATTTCTAATTTGAACTAGGTTTGAAAAACGAAGAGGTTCAAGATTAATAATTCAGTAAAATTGAGAAATAGGACAATATGAGTATGATAATAGTTATTTTGATGCATTTACCGGTTGAGGATAAAGATTTTGAAGAAGATAGTCGATTCACCGCCAGTTTCGATTCGTAAAAAATAAATAATCGTAAAATCAAGCTTGAAGCAAGTTAAACTTCGGAAAAAAGGGTTGACTTCAATCGACGCGTTTGCTTTGCTGTTGTCTGTTTGCGACTTGAAATTTGTAGCGTGGTCAGGCAATTCTCAATATTCTTTGCAAGTCGTTTTGAGTCAGACGAGCCTCATATCTTTGTAGCAACATATTTTTCAGCTGCTAATTCCTTAAAAAAAAAATTAAGATTATAATTTTTTCTGAGAGGCGTTGGCCAAACTATGACTGGCTCGGTTACGAACCGATTTTTTCCACTGCGTCCAACCTAAAACGGCTTGCGCGGGGAATCACTGTGAAAATGACATGAAAGTGGGTTTTTTTTGGGTCTCTGACCACTGAAACTGATTCTTTGAAGACGCACCCGACCTAAAACGGCTTGCGCATAGGTCACTCTTAAACATGTAACCAGGCTTGAGGAGTATTTTTCGTTTCTTTTTCGTTTAATTTTGAATCAAACCGGCGGTGAAATATGTATCTCTCTTAAATATTTCAGTATGAGAAAGAATGAAACAGTATTGGCACGAAATGTTCTAAATAAAGGAAGAAATGATATCGAATGAGCAAAAAGTTCTATCCGTGGAGTTGTACAGAATCCTTAGTTCTACACAGCGCTGATAGTGGTACTGTCGACGTAGGCCATGTTCTGAAAAAAATTCATGTGTTCTTCATTTTGTCATTTTCTCAATAAAGTCTAAACAAAAACGTTGAGGCTTTGTTAGGAACGCACCAAATCACTAATTTCACCAACCAGTTAGTAAAACCGCACCGTACAGCAAGCGAAAAAATAAAAAAAGAAAAAAACTTTGAAAAATAGTTAGTGAAGCGGGGATATCATCGAAAACTTGGAGAAAAAAATAATAAAAAAATAAGAAGATCAGTTTTTTTTTGTGATAGGGGGTAGGTTATTGCAGTGGAACCGAAACTCACGATTGGTTGATGTGCGCATCGCTAAACATATAGGATTTCCTAAATAACTTTTCTTAGAGCGACGTCACGGGCGAGGAGCACCCATATATTTTAAATAGATGATTTTACGTTTTCATTGGGTTATTTTGAACAAATTCCTGACTATTTGATTGATTTTTTGTCAAGTCTTCTCAAATTTAGTTATTTTTTTGATGACCTCTTAATCAGCAATTTTTTTAGATTCGAACTTTTTCGTTATAGAGATGAAGCCCTATCTTATTATCAAAAAAATTAATCCATCAAAAAAACTCGATTTGAGTATAGAAAATTAAATTAAGGGATTAATTTTTCATTTTTCTGATCTTGAAAAGTTGGCATCCATGAACTTCATTGAAGACTTGACTTTTTATAAAAATTTTTGTTCCAACACAACTGCTTCGTTTTTCTTTTCACTCTCTCCACAGCATCTTTCCAAAAACTTTGAAAACAAACGTCGAAAATCACTCAAAATCCACCGCAAAAAATATATCGATCTTCGATATATTGTAACTCAACCTTTTGAGATAATACAAGAAAAAATGTTGACGTTAAAAATTCAGCGTTCAGAAATTCAAGGTGATTCTATTTCTCCGTAGAGCGCAGATTTCATTATCAAGCTATCTATCAGGTTTTTTTCATGAAATGTGCGGCTGTAAGTTTTGTACTTTTTTCGGTTTTTTTTTAGAGTTGTGGGGCTTTTCAAATTACAAGAAAACAGATAAAAAGCTAGAACTTCGATTGCCGCACATTCCTGTTTCACACCGTGATTATTAGGCGGACCTTAGTGAGTTACAAACTGGAAGAAAAATCAGAAATGAGAAGGAAAACCAGGGGTGCACTCCTCGCAAAAAGGCAAACCTTAATGAGAAGTTGCGGTCTTACGTGCTCGTCGGACGTCGTGTGGCTTTGCGAGGACAACGATCCGGCCTGTTCTTTGGGAGTTCCTTCGTTCTGCGCCGCCATCTATAACTAGCTTGCAAAGAGAAGAACAACAATCACATGCTGTCGCATTAACAGCTCAGTTCAATTTAAACTCCAAAATGAGTATGAAAAAAAGTGATTATGGGTTTATTAGAGTATGACCTCAATTTGAGCGATTAAAACATGTTAGAAAATATTTGAAAACCTTTTTTTTTATTTTTTTACTTTTCAGACTTTCAAATATTTTTTATTTTTTTCGTTTTTTCGATTTTGGGTTGATCGACGGAGATTGCCTCTATTATAGGGATGGAGAATCCATTTTTGTTTGGTTCTTATTCATTATTCTTCTTTTTTTCTCAAAAACATTATCAGAATTTTTCCATTTTCTAAAAAAAAATAAGCTTAAAATATCTTTTGAACAATTCGAGAACCGAAAATTGTCATAGCTTAACGGCTCTGACGTTTTTATGAACTCAAAATTCCGCTTTCTTGATAATTTCTCTAAATTCATCTAACAAATTTTTTCTTCCATGAATTGAAAACTTTTTGAACCTTCTTTTTTCAAAGTATTTTCCGGAAACTCGGGCAAAATCAAGTTCACTGGTTAGTCAGCGAGAATCATTAATCATGTCCATCATTCATAACGGATTCATGCTGGAAAGGAATGCCCGTGCGGAATCGAATCAGCATTTTTTTGTTATAGATACAAAAATTAACAAAATAAGCACCTTGTCGACATCTTTCGGGTTGTTGTTGTTCATCCCCTTGGCGAAAAGGGACTTTCTCTTAGTTTGAGCGTTGCTGATTGCGTGATGTCGACACAATAGATAGTGGAGCTCCCGTCGGAGCTGCGTGTTAAATACCAGGTAGACTGTCGGGTTCACCTGAGAAAATGACCATATTAATGAGAAAATAAAGAATCTTCATACGGAGTTGTTTATGAAGAACAAAGACGTCATTACGAAGTACGCCCATTTGCTCGTTGACATATGAGGCAGCCATTGCCAAGTTGTCCACGTGAGAAGGAAGACCAGAGACACGACGAAGAACTGAAAAAAGTGTATAAATGTCATGAAATGACGTCATTCCTTTGACCTGAAAAAGGAAATTGAGACACCAAAAGTTCAATATCTTCGGTGAGATTTTCGGCCTTGTAAAAAAATGCTTTTTGAGACCACTCGAGATTCATAACAAGTTTCGATATTTATTTTTTTCTTTTTTTGACTCGAATTTCATGATTTCTAAAAAATCATTTTGGAAACCGAATCTCTGATCATTCAAAAGAAAAAATATTTTTCCAAAAATGTTTCACCATCGCTCAACAAACCTGTATGAATAGCCGCATTTCTTTTTTGCTGACTTGGCTTCGTGGCGGCCTGACAGAAGACATCCTGCTGCATCCGTTCATTTGACAGGTCAACGGAACACCAGCCATCAAGGCGTTTTGCTGCTGCAAAATAAACAACTCGATGCATGTAAAAAGTTGGTACACCACCTTCAATACTAATCAAACTGATAGAAATGTCACGTTTTAAAATCATAAGGAAAATTTGTAACAGCCCATCCAAAACTCTTGTTCAAAAGAGCGAATAGGCAACAAAAGATGTAAAATAATTCTCAAGGCCAAGAGCCTTTTTTGGGGTCTTTTTACGTTTCTAGATTACCTATTTAAATTTCTTGAATAATTCTGTGTTCAGCTTTGATTTGCCCCTTCTGACTTCAACTAACCCTGGTTCGAATTGTCAGCTGATATTTCGCCATTGCTCTTCCACTTTCTCGGACTTTGTAAATGATGACGGCGTATGAGACAATCATCATACAAAGCGAGATGCTGTTCACTCCCATGTCTACATATCGATACCTAAAAAGCTTCACAACTTGAAAATCGGGAAGGTTTTGGAATAAAAATCTTTGAAAAGGAAGTTTGACCAATATTGTAACTCTACGACCTGAATTAACAATTTCGAAAATAGAAAATACCACAGAGTTGAACGATATTCAATTACGGAATAAAAAATGAGCTAAATGCGCTCCATTGATAAACATTTCAAATTTTTCATTTTTTTTTTATCCCTCATTCTTCAAGTTCAAAAAATCAAGCTTCAGGTAGTTTTCAGTTTTTAGGAAAACTCTGAATGCAGTAAATTTTGGCTTCGTGAGCCAAAATTCAATATGATGAGATCGAAAAGAACCTACAAAGTTGACTCTTCCGGTCCTCCGGAAAGTTAATTTTCTTTTTTTTCTGTCTAGTCATGAAAAATTCTGAAGAGGCCCTTAAAACAAGGAAGAAACACTTGCAGACTTTTCGCCCCCAAAAAAAACTCCAGATTTCGCCGTCTTTAGCATATTTTATCCAGAATCTTCAAAGCTCATATCGAGAAATCTAAAAACCCTGCAAAGATTTTTGAATCTCTCAGGAAAGTTCCATTTCCCCGTAACTTCATGATATATTTACCAGAACGCAACTTCCAAGGAATAGGATTACTCGACGCTACCGTAGTTCTAATCTTTCGCTCTCGATATTTATTCAAGAGAAAAAAATATTTTTCTTTTGGAAGTAACTTAGAAAATAAAACTGACCAGGTGTTGGGTTTCTCGTAGACCGTAATGTAGTAGTTGGAGTCCCAGAGGGTGTGACAGCAGTCGAACAACGTTGGCAAGGAGACCAGAAATCCCAGAAAGTAGCCGAAAATGATCAGATACAAAGATCGGGTCCGTGAGAACATGTACTTGTACTCCATTGGGTACACAATTGAAACAAATCTGAAAATAGGTCAGTTTTTTTCGTTGAACTTTGAGCTTAGAAACAATTTTCGATTGTGTCGAAGTTTTTTCTGACTATCAGGGTCTGTCAGGTAATATTTTTCTGTGTATGATTCTCAGGATCTTCATAAAAGGTATAAAAATTTTTTGACCATAACTCAGTAAATTATGAAGTTTCGCATAAAATCACCATTTTTGAAGATATCCTTACCTATTCCCAGCCATTAAGCCCAGCTGTACGACACTCGTGTACCAAAAAAGGTCATAGAGGAAGATCATGACAATGTTCCGAGTTGATTTGAACTGGACGTATTGGTCGTGAAACGCTGTGGCCGGAACAAGATGGCCAAGTGATATGATTGTCATCAGGATATCACACATCGCTATCGATATGATGAACCAGTAGCTGAAAAATGAGTTTTAGCTTTTTTAAGCTGTTTGAAAATGGACTAAACTAAAAGTTTCAAAAGAAAAGGAAGCTGATACTTTTACAATCGTCAGAAACAGCAATAATGATTATCAGAAAAAATCGAGCTTATCTCCCAAAAACGACAGAAACATTTTCAACGAACTTTTTTAAAAGAGATAATCATCACTGGAAAAAAAACAAACCTTGTAGCTGATCTCATGGTGGAGCTTCGGACGATTCCCACCAAAATAAGAAGATTCGAAAAAAGAGCATAAAGCAACATAATCATCCATATTGACACGGCTATCAAGTCATCTCGTCGGACACTCGAAGAACTGAAAAAACGATCAAAGTTCACTATGAACTGGAAAAAAATTCTAAAAATCATAAATTTCCTTCAGTTATGAATTTTTGGCATCAAGCGTTTGATTTATTTTTTTTTCATTAACCTTTTAATATTGAGCATTTCCGATATTGCTAAGACTTTTATCGCATCATTATGTAGAAAAATCATATAAATTCTAACAATAAGGCGCGGAAAGTGAAGTAGGAAACGTTGGTTTTCCACGATTCGTCCACATCCATCGCTGGTTTCCTCGGCGCTCGTGGATGAGAAACACCGTGAAATTATTCCAATATGCTAAAAATGTAACTAAAAGTTGTTTTTGAACTTCGAAATGAGGGAAATAACGAGAATGAAAAAGCGAGAGAAATTTAGAAAATCTACCAATTTTGAAAAATAAAAAACTTCGATCTAAGAGGCGCCACCTGGTGGTCCAAAAAATGTCTCATCAAAATTGAAGAGACTTATAATATATATATTCTCAAATTTGCAGGAAAAAAACTATAATTCAGCTACTATGAGGCTCATTTTTTTGAAGTGCGCCAGACTTTTGACGTGTTACGCACTAAGTTATTATTCGTCGTTGAATATCACGCGCCACCTTGCGATCCGAAAATTCTGAACTTTGAAATAACGAAAAAAATCTCAAAAAAGAGATTTTCTAATGAGAAAAACACGAAGAATTTCATGAGTTGCGTGAGATTTTTCACATATGAGCAGCCGGAAAAAAAAAGAACCGCGAACAGATTTGTATGCAATTTGTGAGGATTTTTTCCTTTTGGGCGGTTGGGTTACATTATTTGCTCTGTGCCAAAAATCTCACGTCTTTTTTTTTTTGGATAACAATCAGAGGTGTAAAAAAAGGCTTTGGGTAAACGGAAAGGATGGAGTTTGGTTACAAGAAATGAGACAGGGAATGTCTCTATGAATGGATTTTTCGGAAAAATATGACATCATAATGAAATAGAACTTTTTCATTATGCCACATTCCCAGTATTCGCATGTTACCTAAAAAATTTTATGTAAGTTATTTCGCTTAAAATTTTTTTTCCAATGAGTCTCAAACATCCATTTTTCTGTAAAAAATTTCTTTATGTTCTGTAGCAATCCTTAGTTGCCTATTACATGGACCACCCATACATCTTTGAAAAAAAAGAAATAAATAGATGCTATAAAAAAAGAAAAAAAAGCACGCCCTCGACCAGGAAAACAATAAATAAATTACTGAAGATAGGATCAGAACATTTGTTCTCAGGGGCGAATAGGCTTTGCCAAAAAGTGCGGAAGCAATTTTGGCTGCTCCCTTAGGCGAACTGAAACTTCATACGCGGCTGCGTGATGAGGAGGCGTTTTGAAGAAGGAGCATGGAAACAGGAAGGATATCTGCCTGAATTACTGATAAGAGATAGGAAAAATCTCAGGGATCTTTGCCGAAAAAAAGCCGAGAATTTTTAAGAAGTCGGGTTCAAGACGACTTTGCCGTTTCTGCTGAAGTTAGAATGAATGAAAAAAACGGAGATTTCTTTTTTTAACATCTGCACTTTTTTTAAAAAGAGAAAAGAAATGTTTGGAAAAAAATAAAAAAAGAATTTGATAAATTTTAGAAATTATCGTTCAAGATGACTTCCCGGTTGCTACCGAGACTGAGATAATACAATTTTTAAACTATATATTTAAAAAGTTCTGGACACACTCTTAAGCTTAAAAATGATAAAGCAATCATTTTCGGATTTCAAAGAAGATTTTCTCTCGAAAAGGAACGGAATACGACATAACAAATAATTCCACTCAAAATCTCTCCAAATCAAGACTTATTCAACTCTTTATAAGGTTTACTGCGGTTTTCTTCCGGTCTGACTCAAATTTTTCAGAGCTACTCTTTACCTAATTTATCCTATTCGATGGCTCGAGAAAAAAAAATGATCTACTCTGAGCTGTCTAGACGGTTCCGGTTATGTGGAGAAAAATGCAAGGCGGGCTCATTTCTGGCATGCGGGGAACTCCCCAAAAATATACACACAGGCCAGAAACTTAATGAATAATGCGAGCCAAGCAAGCGAAAAGTTCCCTCCTTGGCTTGCTTAGCTACACCTTATGAAAAGGTTTTTTTTTCCGTCTCTGAAGGATTGTTATTCTCAGGGTTTTGTGGTTGATTTTTTTGGACGAGAAAAATATGAAAAAAGTTTTTGAAAATGTTGGAACCTTGAAAAAAAAAAATCACAACCCGTTTCTTGGGACTTTCGCAAATACTTTTCGAGAACAGAACCTTAGACAAAGTTCGCAACGATTTTTTCGAATCTTCAAAAGATTGAACATCTTTTTGAGTTTCAAGAGATTCAAAATTTTCGACCTGAGAACCAAATTGAGCTCAAAAAAATTATCAAAATCTGGTTATGAACATACAAACAAATTTCAAACTTTTTTCTCAACTTTTTTAAATTTCCTTTTTGGAAATTTGTTGCTCATTTGGGTCGGACCTTTGATGTCCCTTGGGAGACTCACTTCTGAAGCTCTCATCTCAATTTTCACAACATAAACTTTTCGAAAAAAGTGTCTAGAACGTTGTTCAACACTTATTTGGAAGATAAATATCGAAAAGATCCCTCAAAATGAAAGTCCATCCCAGTTATTTTCCATCTTCTGACTCCAATCGTTCATTTTGAAGCGGTTCTGCGTGGCGCAGCAGGAAAAAACCACGCATCGCTCCTTATTTGCTTGAAAAACAGAAAAAAAAACAGGGGATTATCCGAAGAATCAAGAAGAAAACGAGGAGAAGCTGTCAGAACAATGAGATGAATGCGGGCCGAGCCATAATTCTTAGTTCTCCTCCTCCGGTCCACCAGAGACCCCTATTTTCCAGCTCATAACCTTTTGATGAGCGTCCGAGAGTGCCGAGGAGAAAATGAAATAGCGTACGGTAGCCATTGATGTGATGTGAGAGACGGGAAATGGCAATGGCCGAGGGGAAAAATTGATGATGAGAGATCAGAAAACTGGGATGTTCCATCAAGATACCAAGAGTTTGAAGATTTATGAACTATTAAAAAGGGAGAAAAATCATCAGAAAACTTAGGATCTAGCCAATTTTTCGTAAAAAAATCGTGAGTATTGGATAATAAAAAAAGTTAAGTTTATTCACCTCTTGCTTGAGAAAAAAACTTGAGAGTGAACAGGTTTTTTTAGGGTCCCCTTTTTTTGTTTTTGGACTGGCCAGTTAGCAAAAAAACCTTTAAAGTCTCCAGATTTTTTTACAAAAAAATCCAAATTCCAACTTACAGTAACGTTTTGGCCCTTAAAAATGACAAAAGTTTTTTCCTTAATATAAGGCTACTGTCAAAGCAAAAAAAATGTATTGTGATCTGGGATCACAAGGATTTGGAGTACATTTTTGCAGAAACTCATCAAATTCTTATCCGGACAGAGGATACAATTTCCTCTCTTTGTAAACGCAGAAATTTTCAAGTTTGTTATTTTTAGCAGGGCTATACGATCCTCATGAGTTTGATGAGATATAAAAAAGATGGGACGAGACAGAATCCATTCATCTTATGATAAAAATTGAAAAAGGATGAAAAGGTAAAGGAAAAAACTCAAGCTTAAAGTAGCATGGAGTTTCTCACCGTTATTTATCTCAAAATCTTTCATTCTTCTCATAACCTTTTGAAGAAAAAATATCCAGGCATTTGCAGCAACACCTGTTTCTTTGTAATTAATTTTCGGTTGAACAATTCTCAAAACACCAAACTTTCTACGTATTTTTTTCATCTCCATAGATTATTTATCAAAATTACGGCCTATGTCTTTGCTCCTGTTATTCAACTGATTTTTTATCACCTTTGCTCTCTTGAAAAATAATTGAACCTCTGAAAAAACCTTCATGGAAAATTTGGTGACAGAAAAAGCGAACTTGAAGCGGATTTAAGGGCAAAATTGGGCCGAGGAACGGGCAAATCAGCTAAGCGCAAACCAAACCCACAAATGCGACGGCAATTCCCGTAGACGTCTATGCAAATTTTTCCGGTCGTTGCGCAAATGATAGAAAAGTTGAGTCTCGAAGATATTTGAAAGAGCAAAAAGTGTCTGAAAACTCTCGGAAAGTTGAGCTAGGTGTTTTTTTCGCCAAAAAATGTCAAAATCGCTCTGAAGCAGTAAAGTGAAGTAACTTCCGGAATTTTAAAAAAATCAGACCTTACTGGAAAAACTTCGGAAAAAATCAAACGGTTGGAATATAATTATCAAAGCCGGTCAAAAACGAAAAAGTGACGTTATTCTTTGTTCTTGTTCCCTACTTAGAGCAAATAAAATCCAAGGTGAGAAAACTTGATACTTTCCAAAAAAAAAATGAGCTCCAGACACTACTGAACACTAACAGAGAAGACTAAAATGTTCCGAAACTTTGCATCTTTTTGGAAGTTTTATAGTTGCAGGTGGAAAAAAAGCTAGAGTTACTAACTTGTAAAGTCGGTTTTAATCTGGCTCGTACTGAAAAGACATTCCAACTCTAAAAATTATAATTTGACGAAAATCGAAATTTCGGGACCTTTTGGTTGAGGAAAAAATCAAGTTCAAAAAATGAGAAGAATTGGCTGCTCAAAAAACTAATGGAATCTAGAACACCGTTTTATAAATACTAATCAAAAAAAGAGATTATAAATTTGGATTTTCATAAGAGAAACGAATTTCTCATCGGAAATTGGGGGCTCTCAGGCCTTTTCCGCCGACAGGTGAGCGATCTCATGAGAAGAAAATAAACGAAAGAGAGAAAACTAACGAGATATTTTGGCAAAGCAATCAAAGACAGGTAGAAAAGAGGCAGACAGGTGAAATTGTAGCCTCACGAGAATGGCGATTCCTATTAATTGGGTTAGGTCAGCAAAAAAAAGTTGAGCGTCACTAAAGTTTTTTTCTTTTGGTCTATAGGATAAGTTTTGAAAAATTTCCCTGTTCGATTTGAAATTTCATCCTGAAAAGAAAAACATAAACTGAAGATTTTGTCAGTTTCCTACAAAGTAGATTGGAGCTTTGTCAAAGCTCAAAAAAATATATGTTCGCTCAAAGAATATATAAATGCGGTTCGATCGGAATAAAACTGCACCCGACCATAAAACAACTTGCGCCGCTTTAAGATTGAAAATTGCAAAAAATGAAGCGCAACATCTGGATTTTTGATTCAAACCAGAATGCAACCGAGACGCTTCGATCCATTCCAACTGCGACCACGAAGTTTCAGATCTCGCTAAGT